AACAACAAGTAGTCGCAAAACCAACCACTGAAATATATCCGCTTGAAGTGGCTTGAAGATGTTTGATTTTCTAATTCTCATTGTTCACCTTTGTGCAGCAGTTCGATCGAAATGGTTGTTGTTTGAGCACCCGAAGGCCCAGTCCACACTTGAGAAGACCAAGGCTGGAACTGCCAGCAGGGTTTGGAAATCAAACACGGAACCCTATGTATTTTGAAATTGGGTAAATCTATGGGTCAACCCCATGTAGGGATTTTTGAAAGCGCGCAGTCATGCCCATTCCGTTTGCCTCTCCTTCAGGCCAGGTTGATCCAGGTTGTGCATTGACCCAACCACGGATGGCGCGGCATGTTGCGCCATTCCTTGGCTGTTCACTGAACTTGGGTGAAATGACTTGTTGTACAAGTTGTATTCGGATCTCAGCACGAAGAGCCGAATAGTAAGCGTCCTGTGGGACGTGGGCAGCATCGATCCGAAGCTATCATGGAATGCAAGGGGGAAATCGTTCCGCACAAAGACCACCATCTTTGGACACAGCAGGCACCAGCCATCAATATCGCCATTCTGATGGACTCATCGCCCGTCCAGGCCAGCAAGGAGAAGATGGAGAAGCGCATTGACCCTTCGGACACCTGGCTTTCCAGTTGATTCGGGATCATTCTCGCTCTGTGGTGGGAAAGCACGACAGGCGTAGATAGGGATCCGAAGATGATGGAGAGAGAGAGAGAGGAGAAACGGTGAATGAATATGATTCGTTTTTGGTTCATTTCTTTGATCATCGCAGATCATATTGTTCTGAAGGGAATGGCGTGCAATCAGAGAGCAATTAGTTTGGTATGGCTTGCCGTTCATAGTGGCATGTTTGGTGAAGCGCAGAGTTGTCGTGTGACACCTTCCACTTCTGGGATGTTGTTTTGTTGCGCGCGCGGGTGTGTGTGTGTGTGTGTGTGTGTCAACCCCTGGACCAAGGGTTCACCGCTACTAACTTTCTACTTTCCCCCCCGTTTTCCACCCTGAAAGAAATTTCCACCAGCAGGGGCGTGTGACACTCTTCTCCTATCACACGCAACGAAGCTGTGGAGAAGAGTGGGAAGGGAAACTTGGCCAGTTTCCTGTACCTGCGACGCAACTGTTGATCAAGCCGTTCCAGTTTCTGCTTTTTGTTTCATGGTGTTTCATGCTACTCCCCCAAACCATTTCCTCCCCAGCAGAGGTGCAGCCGCGCTGATCGTTGAGCCGTCTTGCATTAACCTTGTTCAACAATACAATTGAGCCGACTCTCTCACCTTTCCGTTCCATCGCCATTCTACCTGGGAATTGGAGTGTAACTGAATACAATTGTCAGAGTGTGTTTCGCTCAGCCGTCCCACTCGGGTGCTGAGTGTGATCCCCGTCATTGGGGCGCTGTCTCATCGTGCAAGCTCTAACTGACCTCACCACCTTTCACAGGAACTCCACTGGAAGTCACCTTCACAACCACCGAATTAACTGCCACAACGGCTGCCGGGCCTTACCACGGGAACTGACGTCCGCAACGTTTGCAGCGTTTGCATTTTTCTGCATTCTTTGCATGTCCTTACATATGCGCCCAAGCCATCCGACCTGAGTTTCCAACAGTTTAATTCGATGTGCATGACCACACCACTACATCACATACTACACACTTGCTTTTTTGAGATGTTTGACGGCTAAGTATTCACGTGCATGTGCTGCTAAGTATTCACAGGCCAGATGAATTAATCGTGCATTTTTCCCCTCCCTACCCCTGGGCCTCCGTTGCTACCCCACCCGCTACTCGGGAAACAGAAGGAAATCGCACTCAGCACACTTGTGTGTTGGTGCCTTTCCTTCTGTTTCTCCTAGCCTATTGCTAGCTACCCGGGCGGTTTGGGACAAATGTCCCGCTCGCGCTCTACTTTCATTTAACTAAGTGGGCCTCGTAACTTCCCCTATCTTTCTTTCTTGCCCTCTTAGTCTGCTTTTGTTTTGTTTGCTTTGTCTGTCTTTCTAAGGCTTTTTAGGTGGCTATTAGTTTTTCGCAGCGCCAATATTGGCGCTTTCTGTGCAATCTTCCACCTTCCACGTTTTACACACTTGCGCCGGAATCGGCTGTTTGTGTGTGTCAACCCCTGGACCAAGGGTTCACCGCTACTGACTTTCTACTTTCCCCCCC